CCCCCCCCCCCCCCCCCAGCCGCCTCCATACCCCATTGGCCGCTCCCCCTAACGTACCAAAAAACGATACACCACCCCCCGAAACCCGACACCCACACCCTGTCGGCCCACCTACCCCAAATCCCCCATTCCCCCTGGAGGTCAATGTTGTTGAGTGTTGGGGGGATGGCGGGGGCTTTGGAGGGACAAGGGTTCTTTGGTTTTCTGAGACGTTGCACTTGGGTGTTGTGAGAGAGCTGGAACAAACAAACACATATAGACACACACACACATTTATCTCATTGTCACTCCATTCATCATTCATGGACTCAAATGCAAGTTCACACATTGGTTTATCAAACGCATGAAATGACGTGGAAAAACATAAAACGACACATGCAACACTCATCATCCATAAAACAGGAACACCACAAATCCCGAGATAATATCTGAACCGAAACACAAATCAGTGTAGCATGGATAATAGCAAAATACTTGCGTAACATAGAGTCAAACACCCCCTACAGAAAGAAATCCCGAAACACCCGCGTCATCTACATAAAATTCCGAAACATTAGGCCGGTAATAGAGAACCGCAAACTAAACCAAAAAAAAGAAAGAGAAAAACAAAACACAAATCAGTGTCACATGGACAACATAGAAAAACATCTGACACATAATGTCGAAGACCGGCCCTATTGCCTATCTCTAAGTAGCGAACAAAAACAAGTGCGAACAGTGATATGCTGGTCATGGAGAACAAAAATCTGAACTACACAAAAAAAGAAAGAAAATAAACGGAAGTTTGTACACAGTCAACGATCCTCATCTACAGGCGAACGCTGCCCAGACCGATGCGAAGCTCGTCCATGTGTTCGACCAGTGCTACGTGGTCGACCTCTCTGGCGTTGCTCGCTGCGACCAGCAGTGGAAGGCTCAGGAGGGTCGTCGGGGTCGTCGTCCATGATAACTCTCCTGCCTCTGGTTGGTCTGACGCCAACAGTTGCTAAATCAACATGTCGGCGAGACTCGCGGCGCATAGGCAGACCGTCTGCCCCTGAAGTCTCCCCCTCCTGGTGTCAATCAATCGGCGCGTTTCGGGCCTGCCTGGCTTGTCGACCAACCTCGGGCTCCTCTAAAATGATGGAGGCCTCTCTCAAACCATACGTCAGTGGCCTTTGTACTGCCTCTGCACCAGCATCGCGCGTGCCCTCACGTCCACCACACATGCCGCCATTATCCCCGCCTCTGTCACCAAACTGCGACGCCACAACATCTTGACGACCCCCGCTCGTGGAGACCCCTCTCAAACCCGGCTGACGACCTGCGTTCGCCGATGGGCAGTCGACCACGGGGTACGACTACCACGCGGCTGGACATCTGTGGTCGGGGGTGACAATGGCCCTCCACCCTGTAAGAGGGCGTTGCAGTAGAACCACCACGGGGTCCGCTCGGGCTGGATGGCGCCCAAGACAAGTCTGGTCGGCCGGTGTCGATCCCAATGTAATCCATCGTGCCGTGCGCCTCCAACTCCTCGGCGGTCATACAACCGAATGCAAGCGTGCCGCGAGGCTGAGGCACATACCTCGACTGTGTCCTCTCCCTAGACAGTGCGAAAGGCGGGATCGGTGGTGTGCACATGCCCCTGCCTACACGTCGCTCTACGATCGAGGCGACACCACCTGCACAACACATCGGATCTATAGGAAACGGTGCCTCATGTGGCACCACCGGCCCCACGGCCATGCGGACCACCAAACTCCGGGACGCCACCTGTCTGTCTCTATCAGGGGTACCGATCGCCTCCTTTCTATGTCCAACCCCTCTCTCTCTCTCTCTCTCTCTCTCTCT